CAACCTTAGACGGCCAAAGCACCATAACAGAACCAATACAATAACTCTGGTAGCAGTACCCAATGAAGGCCAAAGTACTGGATTTAGCTTAAAGTCCCAAAATCCACTAGATATAATTAGTAAAGTTTATTAAAAGAAACATGCAGGAATATACAGCAAGGAAAAAAATAATAAAGTCTAACTAGCTAACTTAAGATACTTATACAAGCTTTGGTTCTCTAGTCCAGATGCTACCTGATCAGACTGAGATACAAAATCTAGACAAAGTTTCAAAGTCCAAGAAGCCGGTGTTTAGGCCATGCAAGGTCCAACTTGGCTCAAAGGTGTCAATAATCAAAGGTGTCCAAACTAGAGAGGTGCAAAACTAGAATGAATTATCTTTCTTTATTCCAAACTGCCAGCAGTCAGCATGATCCTGGTTGACCAACCAAATCTGTTGCTAGCCAGATGACCTGACCAATCAGATGTGTTGCTAGACATATGGAGCAGAGGTCCATCAGTGGCTATTAGCCACAAGGTATAGATAGGAACTCTCAATCTGGGGCAAGTGATGCTCCGTATTGTTGGTGCTGGGGGGGGGGAGAAACAGTGGGAGGGCTTCTAGGGTTCTGGCCCCACTGATGGACCACCTGATGGCACCAGGTATATTTAGCCACTGTGTGACAGAATGTTGGACTGGACAGGCCATTGGCCTGACCCAACATTGGCTTCTCTTATGTTCTTATGACATGTGACCATGTACTCTGCAGCTCCACATAGGTACAATTAAGCAAGCCACCTTCCCCCATTTAGGTTTCCTTCTGCTAATACGATGGAATGTGGAGACAAAATACCCTCCTGGCAGTCTGGCTTTGAAGACTTTAGGGCCCAATAATCTCACTTGCACCTGTGTCTAACTCATATTTCTTATCTTTCTCTCTCAGAAACTGAAATCATCAAGTTCGCAGAAAGAAGCCTTCTATGATTTTGCTAGGCCAAAAGCCTGAACCAATGTTTCTGAAAAACCAAGAAACTGCTAGGCAAAGCCAGTTTCTTAACAGGGGTGATAGCCAGAAATGACATCTCGCTATGCATTACATCATATGCAGCCCAAACTCCGAATGTGACACATACTGGGCAATGCTCTGGCCATCTCTGAAAATTCCATGGTACTTATGAAGTTTTCAGGGATAGCCAGGGCTTCATCCAATGCACTTACATCTCATCCAGGTTTGGGGGCAGATGAGACGTCACATATTGCCAGACATCATTTCCAGCCCAGGCCTTTTCTCCTGCCACTCAGATGAACAAGAATGGGAGGGATGGCCCAACCACTGGGACCCCTCCTGCTATAAGTGGACAAATGATCTCCCTAAGGGGGAGGTTTTAACTGTCCTCACCAAAGTACTTGGCTCTCTGTATACAAAACAGCCTTCCCCAAAACTTTATAAATGAATGGGCAAAAATCTGCAAAAATATAGCTGTATGTCCCAGTCCATAGCTGACTCAAGTAATTAAAAATGTTGCCAGAACAAAATTAGGAGAAAATGTTGAATTAAAACATCAGAACCCACTGAAATATGCATTAATATTTACCAGTGGTTACAGAATATTAATCCATTAAGATCAGTAAAGAACTGTTCTAAGAGTTAAATCCATTTCTTATAGGTGTTCTCTCCATAATTCTTATTACAGAATTTACATTTATAAGATTCTTCTAAATTACTCCCACACAGTAAACTTCATCACCTGAACACTCTTAAAACTGACCTCTGAAACCTAGCTTTATAATTTCACCTTATAAACAGTCAAAGTACTGCCATAATACCAATCACCTCCCATCCATTCTAGTCATCATTGGAGGTGCTGCTTCAGGTACCTCCATCATTTGAGGCTAAATGGGTGGCAACCCAAACAAAGGACCTTCTCAGTTGTGGCTCTCTTCCAGCGGAGATTCATTTGTCTCCTTCTATTGTAGTCTTCCACCAGAGGATGAAAAGTTTTTCTGTTTTTGTTTGGCATACCTCCAATAACTGTTATTAGTCCTCCTCCCTGGTTGTGTTGCTATGTTTTTATAAAATTATTTATTTATACATACATTATTTTAAGTACAGTTTTAATGCTGAAATGTTTTTAAAAATAAATAAAAACCACTAATTGCAATCATAGGTGAGCTTTTTCCCCTCAACTTTTTCTGAATTCACCTGAGTAACTATTTGTAAGTCAACCTGGTTGAGATCATGAAAACAGAAGTCACTATGGCTCATTTGGACTCGTGTGGATAGATTTGTACTTCTTCATAATCAAGACAAACACCGTTATCAGAGAATGATTGGACATCAAACTCTAAATGCTTTATCCTATTTCCTACTAATCTACCAATAATGGCATTTGAATGCTAATTTCTGTGTTTTGAGTAACTGTAACTGTTCTGAATTACATTTCTATGGCAAATTCACTACTGTTTAGGAATTATTCTTATCTAGTAAATAAAAGACTCAAATTGGGACTTTCACAATTATAACACATAGTCTGACAACTAGTCCTTCCTATGTGTCTTGTGTTTGATCCAAATAACCACCACTTTACGGATTATTTTGCAGAAATTACAAACCATGCAAACAATCCATTTTCTTTAACAATAACTCTGATATGTTGTTAGGAATAATAACAGGTCATTTTAGCACCATATCCTATTATTTGACACACCTGCAGCCAGTAGAAAAGTAACATGGTTGTGGTAAGATTTTAAGGTGCCAGTACCCCAGACTCCACTAGGCTACAGAAGTAAGTAATTCTGTAGTCAAGTATCAGCAGTGGGAGGACAATTCAAACTATCCAAACAACCCAATGAAAATTCAGACTGTCATAATTGTTCCAGGGCTTGCAATACTTGAATAGGTGAGGATTAAGAATCCACTGCTCTTGCATTTGCACATTGCAGTCAAAACTAAGGGCCACAAATGTTTTCTTCAAAATCTGCAATCATAATATTATACATGCAAATATAACTTGCTACTTTTTTTGGAACATGCATTGAAACAGCAGACAGAAAAGGATCAAGATGTACTTATACCTTTATAGGAGTAAAAATAATTGCAACTATAGTGCTTTGACTATACATCCATGATTTTTATTTGAAAATCATTTGAAGTACAAGAAGGTAGAGTGTAAGTGGCCTTGAAAGCTCAGCTTTTCTGATCAGGGATATGAATTTGTTTATTTTATGCTATTCACAGTCCACCTTTCTCACAGGGGCTCAAGGCGGATTACACATTGTGAGTCAGTACAAAACAAAATGGGACATGCAATAACAAATGCATTAGGATTTTAGATGTTTGGAACCAGCAGAAAGAATTGAAGCATAGCACAATGACTCATAACGCTGTACAAAAATTACACTATAGGATCCTACTTACAATAAACTATACAAAGCAGTATAGACCACAGTCCCTATCATTTATCTAAGTAAGTATGTGAACAATTTTGCACAGTGCAACACTATTACCTGAGCAGAAAATCCCTCTTGAATAATTCAGTTTTGCATAGTTTGTGAAAAGTCAGGAGAGAGTTTTCCTGACCTACTCAGGCAATCCATTCCATAAGGCGGGAGTCACAACAGAGAGAACACGTGTATGGGCAGTTGCTGATATTGCCCATTTGCAGGTTGGCCCCTTTAGAAGCCCCTGCTAACAAATAAAACAGCCACTGCCATACCATTAGAAACAGACCAAAAGTCTCAAGAAGTTGCTGAAATAGCATGACTTAATCAGAAATGATCGACTGGAAGGATACCATCAAAGAAAAGGCCAAAGGTTTTAAAACCAGGAGTACCTCTTAAGGGAAGTAAACTTCAAGAGATGTTGGGCTGCCCTAAAGTGGCAGATGGGCTAATACAGAGAAAGGTAGTCCTTCATATATGCAGGTCATGAAGCATCTTGAACTGTACTCAAAATCAGATAGGCACCCAGTACAATGCTTGCAAAATTGGTATTACATGCAAATGCTGCCCAGTATCAGTTAAAAGGTGAACTACTGCATTCTGCACAGGTTAATGTTTATTGACTACCTTCAAAGTCAACCACGTACAGTGTATGGCAACAGCCAAATACTGCAGTTATAGAAGCATGGATCAGCTTGGCTAAATCAACAGATTCAAAGACAACAAATTTCAAGAATGAGTCCTGGAATAATCATAAAAGCTTTAATTGACTAGATAGTCTGACATCATCTAGATTAAAGAATACATAATTCCTCAAAATAATTTGTCTTCTCAGCCAGCCTTATTCCAATCTTTTCTGGATCCAATTTCAGTTAAGATAATCCCAGTCTTTCTCAGCCAACATTATCACAATCTTTTCTGGATCCAATTACAACTAGGATAATCCTAGTCTTTTAATTAACCAGTTGGCCAGGGAGAGTTCCAACACATAGCTAGTGCATACCATGGAACAAATGCATAAATATGAGGGAGCTACCCCTCTCCTCTTATCACTAACCATAAGCATAATACAAAGCAGGAAAGGAAACACCACTGCAGCAGAAAATAAGTCAGGTGAAGAGAGATGACAGCAGTGGAACAGGATTTTGCCTGGGGTAAAAACCAAAGAACGTCTCCTGTACAAACTTCTTACCACTGAACCAACAGAAATGCACACAACATGCAACGCCAAAATTCCCACCTAGACTACAACTGCTGAAAAGTTGTGCATATTTGAACTGAGGTATTAAAACTATATTAATTACCATCAAACCACCTGAAGCAAGTTCTCTGTAGAGACACAATAAATTTTCTCAATAAATAAATATTTGAAGAAATGCAATAAAAAGGATATACTGAAACAAGGACCAAGATCCTCAGTGTAAATAATTCAGTAAATTTTATTCTGCAAGAAACTAGTTTTGGTCTGTAACTTTAAAACAGATAATTTGGGTTGGGTTTTTTAAAAAGATTTTACTTTCAAAAAAATGTAAGAAATTGTGAAATCCGCATAGACCATTTTCTAAATGCAAGTTCTTACCTTGATTCTCCACTGCTGTTCCGTGCACTTTCTTCATCACTGTGCCCATTCATTGTAAAAATTCACCAAGATAAAAATATAAATAAAGGGTTCCCCCCCCCAGTTTTCAAGATGGACATAAAATGCCCACTTAACAGAGTCCTTTCCACCTGGACACTTCAGCTATTTCACATGTAACCTGTTCCACTGAGTTCAGTAGTTTTTGTCCACGTTATCTTTTAAAAAGAGAGAGAAAGACAGAAATAGTAAGATGTACTTGTAGTGCTTAAGTCTTTTATAAGTTTTGAAAAAACTCAAAATAAATTATATGATGACATTTTAGGTCTTCATTCTACAACAGCCCCCACATACAATGCTAATAAGCTATATATACGCCATGTAATAAAAGACAACCCTTTATGGTAACATAACACAAGTAATATAACTGCTCATTATGATTACAATACTGTTATTTATTTACATTTGAGAACATAGTGGGGCTTGCTTCCCTAATGTAAACACACATATGATTGAGTTGTAACAAATGGGAGTTTCACTTGCCTTCTTTTGTACCAGAGCAAGTGCATAATCAGAGATTGTTGCAACAATTTCTATAATTCCTTGAAAAATGTGACAACAGGGTCAGCTATGTTCAGATTTACGAATTAAAGATCAATGCCAAGTGCTTATCAAGATACCAAAACGCTTTACCCTATAACTTGGGCCTTACACACGCGAATTTAAAAATGCCACAGCACCAAAGTACATTCCCACATGCCTCAATCAGCTGAGTTATGAGCGGTTCTTTTTTTTTAAGTGAACCCAAGCAAAAGGCGGGGCCACGGTTAAGAGCAGCAGGAAGGCACCGCACACAGTCCCTGATAGCCAGCCTGTCAGCCAATGAGGAACGGGCCTCGTGGATTTAGTGGGTGCCAAAACAAATGGGCTTTCTCCCCTCCCCCTGGTTCCCCCTTAGTGTGGCGGGTGTCTCTCGAATCTCCTCGCAGGGCGTCCTACCCCCCTCTAATCAGTGCCATCAGTCTCCCACCCAGGACGGCTGCAGTGCCGTCCCTCGCTCGCTCGCGAAAGCCCCGCTGCGTCTCCTAACTGCCTCTCCGCCGCCGCCTGGTAAACAAAGGGAGATGGCGGGGGAAGCGGAAAAAAAGAGGAGCCGAGCGCAAGGAGGAGCAGCGTGGCCTGCTTTCCCCTGACCGCAGCGATTGTCTGCGCGAGGGAGCCGGCTCGGCCGGAGACGCGAGGCCCGGTGGGGGGCTGAACAAAAGCGGCGTCTCTTCTCCACGCTCCCACCCGGCCTCCTCGCCTCGCCGTCGCCCTTTCCCAACTCAACCCAAGGCAGGCTCTTCCCCTGCTTCCCCCACCCGCTCTCTTCACAGGCCGGAGCCCACGCCTCGGCTTCCTGCTCGCTCGGGCCGGGACTCCATTCACTGTCTCTCTCCCCCCGCCCTTCCCTAGCCCGGCTGCGGCCTGCACACGGCACCCAGGCGAGGCTACGCAGTCCCGAGCCCTGCAGCCTGCCGGTCAGGACAGCCTCCCTCCCCCGTCTCCTTCCCTTTCCTCCCTTACGCTCTCCGGCAGGCCTCTCCTACCTGAGCGCGGCCAGGCCTGCCCGGCTGCCTCGGCCTTCCTGAGGGAAATAACACGGCGAGCGCTGCGGGCCGGCCTTCAGGGTCTGAAGATGAGGAGGGAGCCGAGAAGCCGCTCCGGGGCCTGCCTGGGTCTCTCGCTCGGTCTCGGCCGTCTCTGTCCCGTACCCCGCTCGGCCTACCCCCCAAAAATCAAGAAATGAACGGCGTCCCTCAGGGAGAAAAGAGCTGAGGGGAGAACGGGTTAAAAAAAAAGCCCACCCCGAGGTAAGCGGGCGGGCGTGCGTCGCCGTTGCTTTAAGTCCTCCCGGCCGCCGCCATCACGCTGCCGCCACCGCAGCCGCTGAGTACAACCTCCTCCCCCTCCCTCGTCCGATAGAAACCCCGGGCGTGATGTCAGCCCTGGGACAGAGCGGGAAGGGGGGGGGAAGGAGGAGCGAGCGAGGCTGGGACGCGCGCAGCCGCCTGGCTGAGGGCTAGGACAAGGGCCGAGGCGGGGTTACCAAGGAAGCGGCGTTGGAGGGAGGGGGGGGGCGGCGGAGAGGAGAGAGATGGACTGTGTGGGAACTCGTCTGCGGATGGCCGTAGCCGGGCGGGGCACAGCGGCTTCGCGGGAGGGAGTGTTAACAAAGTTCTCCCGAATTTTGCCTGAAGTCTGTTCGCAAGCCTGATCGAAATTTTACATTGTGTGCCCCCTTGTTTTCTGCCTTCCGGTCTGAAACGCCCCCCCCCCCCCATCTTGTTCTCTTGAAGCATTCGTGCCTGTTAAAAGAATCTTGTGGGATTGCCTGCAGGCTGAATGTTTTCTGTTGTAAAGGGGTGTACATTGGTAATAACAGCTGTTTCAGGTTCCAGTTCCTGCACATTGTATGAGACTAAGTCTCTTCAAACTCTGTTCCCCTTTTCTCCAAGGACGGTTAGGGCCAGATAAGGGTCTTTCAGATTTCCCCAACTCTGTATCTTTGTATTTTGGCTTCAAAACGAGTTTCTGTGTCCACCAGGGGTCATTTCGTAGAAAAAGAGCTAGGGGGACTCATTAGCATAACTCATTAGCATATGCCACACCCCCTGACATCAGGGGCCGGAAAGGCCCTCCCTGGCCCCCGGCAGGGGTGGGGAGAGGCGGGGGGGGAGCAACTTACCCCCCCCCTTCTCCTGCCTCCTCCTGGCTGAATGAGGGCTGGAAGCCTGGTGGCCAGAAGCAGGGGGCGGGGCTTCATCTTGTGCCCCGCCCCCCTGCACCTCACCCGGAGGAATTGCATTCCCCCCCCAAATGACCTCTGGTGTCCACTATCAGTGGTCGTCCAACAGTTACCTAAGTTATGCCATAAAGAATCGTTGCTCTTATTACTTGATATGTTCCTGCGTTTTTATGTGTGTATGTTTTAAATGATTGTTATTTTAGGTTATTTATATGCTTATGATATGTTTTAATTGTATTCTAATTTTATGAATTGTTGTAAACCTCCTTGAGCCTGCCTTGGTGGGGAGGGCGGGATATAAATTAAATAAATAAAACAGTTTAATTTGTGTGGATTTCAAGGAAATGATTGAAAAGACATAATGCTTGTATTCCAACCTGAAATCCATCTAGGGTAGTTTTTGCTGCTGGGAAAAACTCTTCCAATCAAGCAGCTTATTCCTCGAGGAATTGAGTAATAGAGTGTTATGTAAAGTTATGAAATGAGGTTAAGTTCAAGGCAATTATGATTAATGTTGGGAAACCTAAATCTGGTTGAGAATTGTATCCTGTATGCTGTCAGCATTGTCGAGTACACACTTGTATTTTGTTGGTTGGTTTTTTATTTTGGTCTTCAATTTATGGGTCATGACCTCAGGTAGGTTTTGAACCAGTATATGGCTGCCTTTTTTGTAGTTGCTGTTGATTTTTGGAAGGGACCAGCTACTGGTGTGTATGTGTAAAGAGCAAGTGTACCATGCATCCTGCCTTTCTTTGAGCATCTAATGTGAGAGACAGTCAGGCATAGCCATATGGTGGAGAGAGTTCCCTTTTAACACACATCCAGTGGCACCCCACCCTCTCCTTGTAAAGCTTTTTCACTGGCCACCTACCAATCAGTTCTCCAGTGCTCTGTATACCTGCAGCGCAGAGCCCCATTCCCAATTGTAAGATGTTAACTCTGGATCCTCCTCTTCCTGTCATGTGACTATGATGTCACATCACATTTTTCCATGTACTTGCTGATCAGTGGGTTCTAGGATACCACCTAAGGGTTAAAAATGAATCCCAAGTCTATGAAGGTTAAAGGTAACTGTTTTAGCAAACATGAGGCAAGTAAATACCAGTTTGCTATAGTGGTTAGGAGCGTGGACTCTAATCTGGGAGAACCAGGTTTCATTCCTCACTTCTTCACATGCAGCTGCTGGTGTTACCTTGGGTCAGTTACAAGTTATTTCAGAGCTGTTCTTTCACAAGCAGTTCTCAAAAGCTCTCTCAGCCCCACCTACCTCACAGGGTGTCTGTTGAGACTCCTTCAGGTAGTGAAGGGCGGGGTATAAATTCAATCTCTTCTTTTTTCATGATCAGAACTCAAACTTGTATCCTTCTTTATTCATGTTTGCTTCCCAGACAGGAAACATTTTCTTAAATCAGAAGAAGTTTTTCCCCCTTACATAATCAGCATGGTGGTAAAACACAGTAATCAAATCTTGTAAAATATTTTATTTGATCTAGCACTTTTCCTTTTTCTTTCTGTCTGATACCACCAACTCTAGTTATCAGTCAGATACCTGTGCGTCTTAGCAGGTCTTCGCTAAGAGATGGAGAAGTTGCTGTCCACCTACCAGGGGAGAGGCGATCCTGAATTTGTTCCTAAGTAATGCCCAAGACCTGGTGAGAGATGTAAAAGTGATTGCACCACTTGGGAACAGTGACCATAATGTTATTGAGTTCAACATTTGTATAAATAGGGAGTTGCCCAAAAAGACTGACACAACCACTTTTAACTTTAAAAGGGGTAACTTCTCTGAAATGAGGGGACATTGTGAAGAGGAAACTGAAAGGAAAAGTAAAAAGGGTCAAAACCATTGGGGAAGCTTGGAGACTAAAACTACAATCCTAGTAGCTCAGAAAAAATATACACCGCAGGTTAGGAAAGTCACAAATAGGTATAGAAAGAGGCCTGCATGGTTAACAAAGAAAGTAATGGAAGCTGTAAAAGGTATGGAGGATTCCTTTAAGTGATGGAAAGCTAGTCTCAGTGAGGTTGATAAAAGGGAACACAGGCTGTGGCAAATAAAATGCAAGTCTGTGACCAGGCAGGCAAAAAGGGAATATGAGGCGCATATAGCAAAAAACATAAAAACCAACAAGGAAATATGAGAGACATATTGCAAAGACCAACATTAAAACTTTCTTCAAATACATTAGAAGCAGGAAACCAGCCAGGGAGGCAGTGAGGCCCTTGGATTACCAAGGGGTGAAAATATTACTGAAAGATGATAGCGAAATTGCTGAGAAGCTGAATGCATTTTTTTGCCTCTGTCTTCACTGTGGAAGAAGAGAAGTGCTTGCCCACTCCAG